ATAAAGAATTAAAGCAAGAAAATATTAACAGTTAGTTAAATAACAAACAAAAAAAATTAACTATAAAATTTAATCGTATTAAAATATGATGAAATCGCAAAACTTTAATCAATCACATATAATTTACTGATTCTATTGCAAATTCAATTCAAACACTTCCACATTTAATCTCTTTTTTAATTAATTTTGAATGTTTATCAGTTTACGACATGAATGTAATTTAATTGACAAATCACCCTCTACTGTATCTATACTTTCAAGAAATACTATCGGAATGGCAAGAGAATTACACTTCAGTCCTATTTCTTTGCAATGCGGGATGTTACTGAATTAATTAAATCAAAAATTGTGTAACTTATACAAAAATACAGATTTACTATATACGTCGAGCAACGTTTGAAAAGTAAACCGCTTTTTTTTCACATCCTTATTTGAATACCTGACTATCTTTTCCCTAACAGCTAGCTGCCATGTCTAAGTATTAAAAAAACGTTCAAATGAAACTATTTACGCATTCGTCAATATTAGGTAGTAAGTAAAGTGGGTTAAATACTTGGCAAACTCGAGTTATCTAACTTATTAATCTATCCGAATAGTTTTTCAAAACAACTGTGGCAATAAGGTTTGTCGTTTTGCTCTTTGAAGGTGCCCTTGTTAAGCTGCTTTAAACAGAAAGCGCAAACGAAATGTTCAGGATGGAATTTCCTGAACATTGCCGTTATACAACGTCCTGTTATGGGTTTATGGCATCCAGCGCACAACGATCCCCTTTTCGAGTGATAATGGGTCTCACAATAGGGTTGTCCATCATGATCGAAAAATGAACCCCCGTAGAAAGGTTGTCTGCAATCCTACAAAAAAGAAAACGAAAACATTTACATCTTACGTACATCTTATATAAATTATTAAAATTGCATTTGTTTAGTAGAGAAATATAACCCCTCCCCAAAAAATTGGCAATATTTTTAAAAAACGGTAAATGAAACAAAGAACATATAGTGAAATTTCTTAATTTTTGTGTTTTGGTTTCTCTAATAAACCTAATAAATCGACAACCAATAAGTGTACATTCTAAATTCTATGAAGATTTATCAGAAAAGAAGAAAAATCGCTTTAGCCTTGACAAAAATCAAGAACAAATAAGTATCATCTTTTGCTGATGTTTAAAAGACTTTATGGAGATTTGGTTGACTCACTGTATAATTAAGGGCTGTGACGTGCTATAATACAGTTTAATAAGTTAAGTCTGTTGACACATTGGCATATCCTTAGCATTTTTCCATTTCTTCCACTAAGTAATAATTTTCTCCACAAGAAATGTTTCATGAATCAACTTCTACTTGAGCGATTTATGAAACATTTTTTCGGAACGTTTATATTTTAAACGAAAGAAAATGGAAAATTCTGAACATATATCAAGTGCTAAACATTGGGAGGCAATTACAATATTAATTAGGCATTAATTACACAATAAGTCAATAAGAACTTTGTAGACAGATATTTTTCATAGTCTTTTGTGGGCTAATATACGATTTATATTTTGTGCTGTAGATTTATTAGTTTTATATTGCACAATCAAACGGTATCGTTCAGAAATATAGGAAACCAAAATTTTTATGACTCTTGAAAACCTTCAATAAGAAATAATAACAGGTGTTAAGTACAGACTGTCGAACATAGAAACACGTTTAGAAAGATCGACCACCGCAGGTGGTACCACTTTGCGCCAACAGTGTTTATTTTTGTATTTGTTTTCATATTTTTTTTGTTTAGAAACAGGTGTGTGCTGCCGATCTTATTGTGAAATAAACAAATTCTATTCTTACAAAAAACGAATATCCCAAAAACAGGTCAAGGAAAACACAAAAATAGGGCAGACAAGCAAGCACACATCACCGTTTCATTTTTTTTATTTATTTTTAATTTTTATTTTTTCATTTTTTTTGTTTTCTTTATTTATTACAACTTATACAAACAATAATCTATACTCTTTGTTTCGTTTGCCGCTCTCACAATATAATTAAAGGACATAAAAGGGGGCATATTTTTTTTTATAGGGTTGGGGGCATAAGATTCAAGCTTCCTCTTCCGGTTCCTCTTCGTCAACTCCGATACATTTGGGACAAACTGGTTTGCCTTCGATCGCATAAAATGATTTTCCTTGTACGGGCAGTTTGCAGTCCTAGTAAAAATCAAATTTATAACCTTTACTTCGTAGCAACAGTATAATGCTAAGGGGGACGGGGAGCGGGCGAATTTTTTGCGAAAAACTCAGGGACAAAATATTATATATTTTATTAATCGCTCATTGTGTTTGAGTGAATGTGTTGTGTGACTTGGGAATTGAATACAAAACTATTATAGTACAAAAATATAGTACTGCCACTCAAGTAGTTGTTTGTTCGGAAGGGGGTGCATTTGAATACAAGAGAGAGAAAGATAGTAACATAAAAAAATGTCTAAGTAAGGGTGAACTCCTTAAAC